AAATCATTCCTAATAAACTAATCACCTGCTATGTGCCCTGCACTCTGATGGGTGCTAGAGGGGAATGTTTTAGTAAGACATAATACATGTCAATTCTTATAACACTGCTGGGAAAATCGTGTTCCTGTCACTGACTACACTAGGAGCATAAGCCTTCCTTTAATCCAGAGGTTCCCAACATTGGCTGCTGTTGGAGTCACCTGGGAAGATAAAATATCCAATTCCTGGGTCCCACCCCTAGTGTTCTGTGATTTGATCAGTCTGGGGTACGACCTGAGCATCAGGATTTTTAAACACAAGAGGCGTTTGCTAATTATCCATCAGCAGGACTTAATTGTGAATATTTCTCTACAGTCGTTATTTATAACTTGCTCACTTTCAGAACTGATGTGATGCAACTGCTGACACACCAGGCATAAAAGTGACCATTAAAAGAAATGGTGGCCGGGCGCAGCGGCGACACCTGTAATCCCAACACTTTGGGAGGCCAAGGTGGGCAGATCAGAAGGTCAGGAGTTCAAGACCAGCCTGGCCAACATGGTGAAACCCCATCTCTACTAAAAATACAAAAATTAGCCGGGTGTGGTGGCACGCACCTGTAAACCCAGCTACTCGGGAGGCTGAGGTAGGAGAATTACTTGAACTGGGACCCAGTAGGCAGAGGTTACAGTGATCCGAGACTGCACCATTGCACTCAAGCCTGGGCTACAGAGCAAGACTCCATCTCAAAAAGAAGAAGAAAAAAAAAAAAAAAAGAAATGGTAAGAAATGCGGGAAGCTCCAAGAAGACAAGGGAAAATCGGCAGTGATGGAATTAACATCATTAAATCGATCCCTGAGTTTCCTGGAACAAATGTACAAAGCTGAACAGGAAAGGCCATGCTGTCATTAGAGTCAATAAAAAGCAGCCAAAGCCAAAGAAAAAAACACTTATTTTTCTGATAGTTATAGAAGGACCCACAAAAACTCTTAGGATGAAGAAGGCAGCTGAACTCAGACACTCTGTGACTCATGAACCACGAGCCTGCCCCCACATCAGCAGACAGCCAACTGGTCAACCTCTTTCCTGAAGGCCTCCAGGCTTCGTGGGAATGACCCTCGACTTGGCAAATGATGAGGCAGGCAGGAGGAACTGTAATCCAGCTGACTCAGAAAACCTTTCCACTGGGGCCCAGGCAAGGAATGAGGGAGTCAGCTCAACCCAGACTCTACTGTATCCATGTTCATAGAAAGAGCGATTAAAGCTGAGATGTCATTTGACACACGCGAGGCCCCCACACCCTGGACCTCGGCTGGGTTTCATTTTCCTTATCTTCTTATGCTCAGTGGGAGACAGACCCTGCTTTGTGTGGGCATCCAGAGCTGCAGTTCGAAAACCCCGATTGTGGCACGCTGAAGCGTGGCTGGTCAGGGGGACTTACGGGGGGTTGTCACATTTCCTCTGCCGGAAGCGGGCTCCCGTCCCACAAGTTCGGCTGCACATGCTCCAGACACCCCACGGGCTCCAGTCTCCGTCCACGTGCTCCGGGATGGGCGTCTTGCTCACGCAGTCCCCTGCACGGCACCACTGAAACACAGCGGGGAGGGCTGGGGCCCGGCATTCAGCAAAGCTGCTCACTCCAGCCCGCCCGGCCCCAAAATGCCATGCTGTGAAAAACCCGCTTTCTACATTTACATAAGTCCAGTCTATTTCAGGGTTTGCATGTTTGCTGATTTTAGTGACGTGCCTTACTGAAGCTGACACTTACATCCCTGTAGGGTTTGCATTTTTTGCCCTAAGCTTTCAGATAGATGTGCTCCATTGGGATTTTCTAAATCCCAGGAAGAGGACTAATTTACATGGCTCATGAAGAAACCTGGGCTTCTGCAAACTTTGCTTGGCGTGAGCGCGTTTCTCGCTGGGAGGCGGCATGCCTGGTTGAGGTTTTGAACCTCAGAATGGGGTTTGTTGCTTGGTGATGACAGCCAGCTCCACGTGAGGAAACCTTGGTTCTTTCCGAGGATAAGAGAAGGCCAACCCTATAAAACAATTTCTCTAAGTGGATAGCACCCACCCTGAGGCGCTGGATGTGATTTCATGGTTCCCAGTCATGGCATCAGAGCTAAACTTGACTTCCTTTTCAACCCTTTCAATCTCTGCATTAAGACTGGAGAGAGGCCAGGTGCAGTGGCTCACGCCTATAATCCCATCACTTTTGGAGGCCCAGGCAGGCAGATCACCGGAGGTCGGGAGTTCAAGACCAGCCTGACCAACATGGAGAAACCTGTCTTTACTAAAAATACAAAAATTAGCAGGGCGTGATGGCGCATGCCTGTAATCCCAGCTACTCGGGAGGCTGAGGCAGGAGAATTGCTTGAACCCAGGAGGCGGAGGTTGTGGTGAGCTGAGATCATGCCACTGCACTCCAGCCTGGGCAACAAGAGGGAAACTCGGTATCAAAAAATAAAAAAAGACTGGAAAGAGCCCTGTGGCTGAGGGTTCTGCACACCTCTCCCCTCCAACACCTCCCATCTCTCCTGCAGGGGAGGAGCAGGCTACTTCTCTCAGCATTTAGCTAGAATTGGATAACACTGTTCTCACTGAATTCTTTTCACAAGAGCCTACTGTGTATGGCAGGTGATGTTTTTCCATTTAAAATACGCTGGTCTAAAGTGCTCCTTTTAAGTAAATTCCCTTACATGGTAACGGGAGTTAATCTAACAAACATATTAAGTAACTGATACTTGTATCTTTTTTGAGACAGAGTTTTGCTCTTGTTGCCCAGGCTGGAGTCCAGTGGCCTGATCTTGGCTCACTGCAACCTCCGCCTCCCGGGTTCCAGTGATTCCCCTGCCTCAGCCTCCTGAGTAGCTGGGATTACAGGCATGCACCACCATGCCCGGATTCTATTTTAGTGGAGACGGGGTTTCACCATGTTGGCCAGGATGGTCTCAGTCTCTTGACCTTGTGATCCACCCACCTCGGTCTCCCAAAGTGCTGGGATAACAGGCCTGAACCACTGCGCCCCGCCGTATCTTATAAGAAAAAGGAAAGAGGCGATGTAGGCACCACTCTGTGCCTGGAGCAGGCTCCACGGGCATTTCTGTGGTGCCTGAAGGATGTTTCTGGGGCTCCTAAGTAGAGTACAGACCGTGTTTGAGAGACTGCCAGCTGCCTGGGAGGCGTGGAGCTGCCTGTAGGGGCAGTGGGAGGCCAGGATTACCTTGTCTGCCCCACACTCGGTGCCATCCAGGGGAGGGTCCAGCTTGGTCTTGCAGGAGGCGTCTCCTTCTACCAGGCACCACAGTCCAGCGCACATCAGATGCTGCGGAACAAGGGAAGGAACGTAGTTGTGGAGAACACCCACACTCAGGTCACAGCTGGGGTCAGAGGCGTGGCCCATCCACGATTTCAAATGTGGGATTCGAAATGTGTGGGGAAGCCAGAGGGTCATGAGTTTGTAGGTTCAAAAAATAAGTGCATCCCTTGAACTGGTTCATTTAGTACAGAAAGTTCTGTGCATCTACTCCGAGGAGGGCTCGTCTCACGGGGTTGGGTTCAACAGCTCCAACAACCACAGAGGGCGTAGGAGGTATCAGAGGCACTGCACAGGCCAGGAGCAGCGGCGCCTGCCTCCCAGCAGTAATGAGCAGACAGACACCTTCCATTTACAGCGGTGAGGGTTCAGGCAGATACCAGGGACTGTCCGGGACAGACAGTAAAACGATCTAACCAAACCTCCTCAGAGAGGCCTTGCTGGAAGAGGCAGCCCTGAATTCAAGAACAGATGGGTAGGCAGCCATTGTGAGGCCAGCAAGTGACAGCCCAAAGGGCCGCGAAGGGCTCATAACCCCACAGGGTTACAGGGGCAACCTTCTTTCTCCCTGTGGTCACCTGTTTCTAGCTCAGCTGAGCTGTGCACAATTTTTTATAGTACTTCACTTACAGAATTTTCAGAACATCTACAAATGTACAATTAAAATAATTCAAACGGCATTTAAACACACCGACTTCTAATTGTATCATTAGGAAATCTGGGCATCGGTGAAGTGCTCAGGAGACAATTTATCAGAATCACGAAGGCAGACATAGCCGGTGTCCCCTTTTGGAGGACTCATGTGGACAGCGACCTCAACCATAAGGGACAGAAGCTGGGTAACTCCCCATCCCGCCCCGGGGACAGGGAGATGACACTGAGGCAAGTTCCACACACCTCTCAGGGGGCCCTGGAGGATGGCCTCGCTGTCAACAGCAGTCACTAACTCACAAATGCACCTTTCTTGACTTCTCTCTCCCTTGCCCCCTCACCACGCTTCCTGGGATCACTTTCCAGATAAACTACTTGCACCCAAATCCTGGCCTCATGGTCTGAAAACTGAGAACAGATGTAGTTAAAGATCTTTTAAAGATGCAGTGATTCCAGGGTGACAAACCCCATCATGGCTAAAAGGCCCAAGTTGGAGAAGGAAGACATCACCCTCCAGGGTGTGGCCAGGGACCCGCTGCTTCAAAATGGGCCGGATAAAGGTCAAGGAGCATCTGTGGCTGCTGCAGTGTGATCACCACGTGGTTTGCAAAGGGTGTGCCATGCTCAGTTTAGAGGGCTGCTGTTCCAAGTAACCTCAAACATCTGCACGGAATAGACACGCAACTGTGCTGTCTAAAATTTTCAGAAGTTGAAGGGTCAAAAATAAGAGCAAGGGAGGGAAGGCAGAGCTGGAGGGAGCTTTTCAACAGGGCTGAGAAAAGCCCACAGCTATCTCAGTGTGTTGGAGCTATCTGTGCCCCTGAAGAAGTGGATGACTCAAGTGGAATACTGCACATGGAGTTCACAAAGCCTGCGTGTTGCCATGATTGTTCGCCTCTCAAAGGGATGGCAAAAAGATCAGAACCCTAGCGCAGCACATCTGGTCCTATAAGACCGACTGCACCCCATCAGACATTTGATTCCCTGCACTCTGACCTGAGAGCTCTTTGAGAGTGTGGCATCTGTGTGCAGACATGTGCTCACAAGACAAGGCTGACCCAGGGGGAGAATTTACGAGGCAGGAGTGTTTGGGATTAGCAAAAATGACGGCTCCATCAGGACAAAGAGGAAGAAGGCGTTGTCAACTGTTTGTTATGCACTTTACAGACAGTGCTTTCTCATGAAACTTTTCTAACCATCAAAGAAAAGAAGAATGAGGTTAGGCAAAGATTTCTTAAACAGAACTCAAAAAGGACTATCCATGAAGGAAGAAAACTAATGAATTATATCATATTAAAATGAACAACTTCTGTTTTCCAGAAGGCAACTGCAAGAACACAACAACATGTTTGCAATAGGTAAGAGATCTGTAATGTGTACAACCAATGAAGTGTTTGTATCCAAAACATGACTTAAAACAACAAAAATCCTTCAGATCAATTACAAAAAAGACCAGTAGAAAAATGGGCAAAAGTCTTGAATAGACACTTCATAAAAGAGAATGATTAAATGGCTAGTAAACATATGAAAAAGTGCTCAGTTTATTTAGTCATCAGGGAAGGCACATTACGACCACCACTAGACACCTTGATACACCAACTAGAATGCCAGAATGAAGAAGATGCAAAGCACCATTCATTCACTGGCAAGAATGTGGCACGATGGGTCCTCTTGTATACTGAGAATGAGATTAACTCGGTTCAACAGCTTTGGAAAACTCTTTGGCAGTATTTGCTAAAGCTGAAGACACATACATTCTAATACCCAGCAATTCCAATCATAAGTATATAACAGAAAATATGTGTATGTGTTTACCAAAGACATCATCAAGGAAGTTCACTGAAACACTATTTGCATTAGTTCCACGTTGGAAACAACCCAAATGCCCATTAAGAGCAGAACAGATGAACTATGGTATATTAGAACAATGGAATACTATATGATTTCATTTACATACAGTTCAAAAACAAGAAACATAAACCTCTACTGTTAGGAGAGTGGCTACCTTTGTTGTCAGCTTAAGAACAAAGAAAAGGGGAATGACAGCAAAGGAGACATTAGCACGGCAGCATCTCATCCAAGCTCTGCCATCTGCACTGCTCTGTGTGCCCAAGCCAAGCAGTCACAGTTCCTGTGATACATTTTCACTACTCAACAGATGCGGTGACTACACGTAGTCACCTTGATGCCTCCTAGATCGACAGCCGGCATTCACGTCATGCATTGCAAATGACAAAGTGATCTGCTTCCTGTCATCCTGAGTCTCACAGCAGCCCTGGAAGGCAGACAGGAGGGGGCTTCCTCTATTTTTTTCCACTTTTCCAATAAGGAGGTCAATGTTTGTGAAGGTCAGGGAGTCTGAGCTAGGTTAGAAGCACAAGACTCACAAAGAAAGGAACTAAAGTGATGTAAAAGAAAAGGCACCAGTAGGGCGTGGGTTCAAACCTGTAATCCCAGCACTTTGGGAGGCCAAGGCAGGTGGATCACGAGGTCAAGAGATCGAGACCATCCTGGCCAACACGGTGAAACACCATCTCTACTAAAAGAAAAATACAAAAATTAGTTGGGTGTGATGGCGTGCACCTGTAGCCCCAGCTACTCAGGAGTCAGAGGCAGGAGAATCGTCTGAACCCAGGAGGCAGAGGTTGCCGTGAGCCAAGATTGCGCCATTGCACTCCAGCCTGGTGACAGAGCAAGACTCCATCTAAAAAAAAAAAAAAAAAAAAAAAGAAGAAGGAGAAGAAAAGAAAAGGCATTTGAATATAAATTCAAGACCCTAATCTGAAATGATGGAACATCTTATTATCAGATTGAAAAACAAAGCCCCAAGAAAAACTGGTGCAAAATAATGAGCAAAGAGGCATGTCCTTATAAGGCCTTTGGGTTTCCAAGATAAAGCTGAACATGCTTTGGACAGCCAGCACAGAGAACGGGAAAAGGGAAAAGAGCTTGGGCTGTGCAGATGTCTTTGCAGCAGCCTCTCCCTACGGGCACTGGAGTGAGTGACGCTGATACAGATAGAAAGGTAGAGCATGCAGCCCAGGAAACTTCTATCAACTAAACGCTTGCTCAAGTACTTAGCCAATGGAAAAAACATTTTTGAACTTACAAGTAGGTAAATCCTTTTTTGGAGAAAATATCAGAGGATGACCTTCGGCCATCCTAAGAAACGACTGGAGAACCCAAAGAAAATGGGCCAGCAGTGAGCCCTGATCAAAGTGTTGAAACCAACACAGGGATGGGAGTTAGGGAATAGAGCACACAGGACAGAAACCCAGATGAGGCAGAAATGGCAGAGAGAGAAACCCACTGGGAAGAAGGTGCACCGGGACGGGAGCCGTGGGAGGCTGTCTATATCTACATCAATGTCTTCACCTTTTCTAGCTGTGGGAAGAGCAAAATACAACAGATAAAAATTTAAAATTGAGATATAAAAACTTTCAAAGGTAAAATGTTAAACACAAAGAAAAATAACAGAACTGGGTGGAAGGAATGAAAGGGTGGGGCTTGGAGGTGGAGATGCTTTCATCATGCTCAGGCAGCAGGTACACTAAAGAGAAGGGTGACTGACGGATGAACCTTCTGCTTTTACAGCGAATAGCAGACTCTGTGGGAGACAGGGCTGCTCTTCCGGTACGGAACAGCTGGGTGCCATAATAAAGAACAGTTCTCATTGCTGAGCTCACCAGTAGTAGTATCCAAGGAAGCAAATACAAAACCCATACCCGGCTGTCTTCGTATGTACACACGACTGCTACCAATCTGTGATAAGCACAGGCAAGGGCGGATTCTCCCAAGGGCAGGTGCTGGTTGACAAGACCAACACCTACCCTTTCATCTTCCAGCACCCAATCGTGTTATTTTTCTTTGCGGTGTTAACATTTTTACCTTTGGAAGTTCCTTTTTTGTTTGTCTGTTTTTTGAGATGGAGTCTTGCTCTGGTGCCCAGACTGGAGTGCCGTGGCATGATCTCGGCTCATTGCAACCTCCACCTCCCAGGTTCAAGCGATTCTCCTCCCCCATCAGCCTCCTGAGTAGCTGGGGATTATAGGCATGCACCACCATGCCTGGCTAATTTTTTGTATTTTATGTAGAGATGGGGTTTTACTATGTTGATCAGGCTGGTCTCAAACTCTTGACCTTGTGGTCTGCCTGCCTCGACCTCCCAAAGTGCTGGGATTTCAGGAATAAGCCACCACACCTGGCCTGAAAGTTCTTATATCTCAGTTGGCACTGCACTTGGGAGAAGTCATCTGGGGCTGGTCTATCTCAGATAGAGCAAGGTCAGGAGCTCTATCTGAGACGCCCAGATTAAACCAGAGAATCTGGAAGGGTGTTTACCGGTTCTGAAAAGGCTA